TTTTTTGCGGAACCAGGGATTGAACTCAGGCCCTTCGCTTGCCAGGGAAGCACTTATTCCACTGAGCCATCTCCCCGGCCCCGACTCTGTATTTTTTAATGTAAATATTCACTGTATCTTTCAGTCACCTCTTATGTGTACTTATGTATGTAGGGTGTATTTATCTGAAGCAAGTTTTTCTTAAAATAAGATTTAAAAAATCCATGTTCTCTCAGGAAATAAAAAAATAAGACTTTAGGTCATTGAAAGCTCTCACTGTTTTCATTTTCATTTTTCAAAGTTTTTTTTTTTGAGTGCTTAGTGTGTGTGTGTATGTGTGTGTGAATGAGAGCAGCTGAAAGGGAATGCAGTCAGAACTGAGTGTAAATCGTCCCTGCTGTGCTCTGAGGTCCCATCTCCCCCCCACCCCCCAGGATTGGGTCCTGAATTCTGGACCTTTACAATGAACTACATGTCTGGCCCTTTTAAATTTTTTTTAATGTTGTGACAGCGTCTTACTAATTTGGGCAGGCTGAGTTTGAACTTGGGATCCTTGTGCCTCAGTCTCTCAGAGTGCTGATGTCACAGGAATGTGCTAGCACAGCTGGCTGTGCTGAGTCTTGTGTTGTCTCTTGTCTGAGTGATGTGAGGTCCATTGTCCTATCCAGAGATGAGTAATCCTGGGGCCTGTGGTTAGAATTTGCAGAGTTTCAGTGGCAGTTAGAGCACATTACTTGTCACTCGGCACAGGTGTTGAGTTTGTGTTGGATTGAGTTGGCCTATCATTGTCACTTTTTATTGAGTGCAAAGTCCTTGGGTTTTTGCCAGCTAATAAAATCATGATCTAGGCAGAGACCCTGAATTATTTGTTTGTTTTATGATATTTAGCTGCCTTTTTAAAATAACCCAGAGTCTGTCTTTAAAGAATAAGAGGGGATTTCAACCCTGTCCCTTGACTGTCTTGTCTTTGTTCTTTCCACATGCAGATCCATTAGGTACTGCTCATTGTTATAGCATCAATCTAATCAACAATAAAGCTCGTAGGATATAAAATTAAAGCCATCCATCCAAGATACTTGGAAATTCATCTGCTGGAAATGTTTTTCTCAAGATAAAAATATAATCGGGATGTTTTAATGAGAGCATTTTCAATCACATGAATTCAGGACTATGAAGACAAGTTGAAATTTGAGTTGCTCATTCAAACAAGCTTCTTGAGTGCCTTGCTGTCTAGAACTTAGTGACCATTTTTGTTTGTGTAGTTGTATAGGATGAATGAGAGCGGCTGAAAGGGAATGTAGTCAGTACTGAGCGGAACTCAGTCTTCTACGTAAATGCTGGATTAATCTGTTTGCTGTTGCTTAAATGACCTCATGTTTGTGGTGTTTGCTTTGTAGTGCATGATTAGCGTCTGCTCTAGAACGGTTGGACATGCTGGGCATGGCTTGGAAGCAGTTGATGCCACTGTGGTACAGTGTCACAAGTGTCGCGTGGCCAAAATGGTGGCTTGATATGGTTGTGTATAGTAGTCTTTTTTTTTTTTTTTTTTGCAGAATTTATATGGTAGTTTTACCTTATAATCTCTTTGGAAGGGGAGTTTGACAGTGTAGAAAAATAAAATTGTAGATTTAGTCAGGTTAGCAGTATATTTCACAGATGAGAAGAGTAGAAAGAGCTCTTGCAATCCCAGCACTCAGGAGGCTGAGGCAAGAGGATTGCCTGGAGTGTGACATCAGCCTAAGCTATGTAGTGAGAGATCCTGTCTTTAAAAAAAAAAAAAAAAATAGTAGTGGCAAGACGTAGGTAATTTATTTATGTTGATGATGCCATCTTTGAATGAAAAAAAAAAAAACAAAACAAAACACTTGAGCATATTCCCATACAGCAGGCACTTACTGTGTAATGATTATATTTCTTTTGAAATGAAATCTGTGTTGTCCAGGTTGGCCTCGAACTCCTTGGGCTAAAT